CATACACACACACACACACACACAGAGAGATATATGTAAGAAGATATGGTATACACGCACAATGGAATATTACTTAGCAAAAAATCAATGAAATCTTGCCATCTGCAACAACATGGATGGACCTGGAGGGTATTGTGCTGAGCGGAGTAAGTCAGACAGAGAATGACAAATGGTGTATGACTTCACTTACATGTGGAATCTAAAGAACAAAATAAAGAAACAAACAAAACAAAAACAAACTCATAAATACAGAAAATATTTTGCTGGTTGCCAGATGAGAGAGGGTTAGAGGGGTGAGTGAAAAAGAGGAAGGGATTAGAAAGTACAAATTGGTAGTTACAAAATAGTCATGGGGATGTAGAGAATAGCATAAGGAATATAGTAAAACATATTGTAATAACGCTATGCGTGGTGTTAAATGTGTACTAGATTTATAGGGGTGATCATTTCATAAGTTATATAAATATCTAATCACTATGTTGTATGCCTGAAACTAATATAATATTGTGTACCAACTGTAACTGAAAAATAAAAAAAGTTATTTTAAAAAGGAGAGTAAAAGAGGCAACATTGTCCCTGCAATGGAGAGGTGGTGTCAGTCACAACCACAGTGACCCTCTCTCACGTACTCACCTGGACCAAGAATAGTACAGAGAAGCTTCCTAAGCATTTATCCCAATGACCTGGGAAGTCTCATAAACTTCTAGGGCACTTCATGTGCTTTTCTAGGACACCTGTGAGGTCTGCCACCACCCTCAATAGATTTTTATCCCCCACTTCTTTTCCTGGGTACAAGCAGAACAAGTGGGAGGATCAGAGCAAATACAGTTGAATGCAGCAAGTATTTCTGACAGCTCTTCTTGCCAATGGTTCTAGATCCCTATCTTCAGGTTGTTTAAGGTCTTATGGGGGAGAAAGAAACAAAACAAAATATTGATATTACAGTGTAACAAGTACTGGCAGGGAGGTTTGGGAGGCCAAAAAAGGGGGACCAGACCCAGCGTGGGGATTAAGAAAGGCTTCTCAAGTTTGATGATATCTAAGCTCAGTTTCCAATGTCGCAAATGGTTAACTAGCTAGAGTTGGAGGTCAAGGTTATTGGAAGTTTATTTGAATATCTTCCAGAACTGGAGACAATCTTTACTTTAAAAAAAATGGTTAAGTACATCATGCTATACTCACACTCTCCAATTCTATCCCAAGCACCTAACACAGTGCCTAGTGCACTGTAGACACTCAATAGATATTTGTTGAGTGACTTGATGAATCCAGGTGGAGCAACAAATATCACAGAAAAAAGATTAATATCTATATTATTCAAAGGTCTCCAACTCTAAAAGGAAACTACAAACAACAGCAATAATAATAGTTACATCTCATCCTCACAACAATCCTATAGGGTAGATTCTATGACTCCCCCATTTTACAGAGAGGAAGCTGAAGTTTAGTGAACCACACAGCTACTGAGTGAAATAACCTGGGTGAATCTGACTTCAGAGCTCATATTTTTAGCCTACTACTCTTTATTGGCAACCCATCCCCAAAGTGGGCAAAGAACTAGATTGGGCAATTCACAAAAGGAAATAAATGACTAAAAAACATGAAAAGATTGAGCAATCTTGTTAATAATAAAAGAAAAGCAAACAAAGCAACACTGAGATAGCACATCTAGTGGCTATCGTATTAACAAACATTTTAAAAGTTAATAAAAATGAGTGGTGGTGGCAAGTTGGTAAGAGACCAGATACGCACATTCTTATGTACCATTGGCAGAGATATATAGCATATGTATAGGGCAAACTGACAATATCAAGATTTTAAATATCTATATACTCTTTGACCCAAGATTTTTGGGGGGATTCAACCTTTTAAAATATATTATCATATATGCCTAAAGGTGTTTATTGCAACATTATTCATAATTGAGGGGGGAATCCCTGGAAGTAACCTAAATTTCATGGATAAAAGGAAATTTCAGATCAATATATAGAGTATGATCCCATCTGTGTAACTATGTTAATGATGATAATCTCCACAGATGAAATTGCCTGGTTATGACATAGTCCTGTTGCCTTACGATTGAGAAGGGAAGAAGACAGTGAGAAGAGGGGAAGAAAAATTAAAAAGGAATGAGAAAAATATAATAGAAAAGAGAACTTCAAATTTTTAAACTGTATATTCTGAAAGAAAGAGTAGTACTTGAAGAGTGGAACCAGACTGCCTGGGTTCATAGTTAGTCTATGTACTTACTAGCTGGATAATTATCAGTTAATTACCTCACTTCTCTAAGCCTCAGTTTCCTCATCTGTAACATGGGGATAATACCTATCTTTTAAGGTCCTTATGAGGATAGGCTAAATTAATCCATGTAAAGCACTTAACAAAGGGTCTGATGCATAGTAAGCACTCAATCAACATTAGTTGTTATTTCTTTGGATCAGGAATTGTGCTTAGTGTTTTCTGTACATGATGCTGTTGAATCGTTACAATGTCCTAGAGGTCGTCCTTGGAAGCTGACTGTTAGAGAGTCCTTCCCACTTGTGCTACAGTTGTTTCTGAGTTTTATTGCCCTCCTTTTATAGTTGAGGAAACTGAGGGCCAGAGAGGTTGTTTTGCTCAAGGTGTCCTAGCTATACATGGATGGTCTGATTCCAAAGCCCAGCAAGTTCATTTTACTACCCCAGAGAGAGAAGGGAAAGGGAATAGAGAGGGCAGAGCCAGTGCTGGGTGAGGGGGAGGAGGCAAGAAGGGACTACATTGGGTTTTATCTCTAGGCTAAGATACCTTTGAGGCCAATGCAAGGCCAGGCCAGCAGAAGGCAGGGTGGGTGGAGCTGAGCCAAGAAGGAAGGGATAAATGCCAAGTCCTGACCCACAGTGCCCACTCGTCCTTCGTTCGTCCTCAGTGCAGGGCAACAGGTAAGAGTCACTTTCAACCTGGTATCCTCTTTCTGGTCTGCCTATACACCTCAAGGCTGCACATGTTGACTGTCTGGCTTGGCTACATCTGACTTGGTTTTTTAAAATGTCTCTGTCATTTTCTTTCTTTCTCTCCTATGTTTTTTCCTACCTTTCCCAATTTTAGCTTTCCTTTGTTTTTTTTTTCTCCCTCGTTTCCTCCTCTTTGTTAGTTTTCAACATTACTCACTTCACTTCATCTCTCTCTGACACTCTAGCATTCTCTTATTTTTCTTTCATCTGAGTTCTGTCTGTATATTTTTCTCTAAATCTCTCTTTCTTCCTTTCTGTCTCTTCTACTCTGTATCTCTCAATCTCACTGTCTTTCTGTCTCTCTCTTCCTCTCTTCTGTCTCTCAGGAAGATGTCTTGATATTTCTTCCAGCAATTCTCCATTCCTTGCTCACTTTAACTCTTTTTCTCTGCTCAACTGACAGCAGGGCTCATTGGGTCAGAGGTAGGGAGAGAAAACTGAGAGAATGTGGAAATGATGGGAATGATGAATTGGGTAGGGGAGATTTGAAGGAACTGAGAGATAATTAGCAGAAGTAAGGGGAAAGGAGAAAGAGGAATGTTGTGTCACTGAAATTGCCCTATGTCGAAAGTCAATAGGTTTGCATTCTTGCTCTAGTTCATTGTGAGACCCTAGGCAAGTCATTCACCCTCTAAAAAGTGACTTGGCCTATGATTTCCACAGTCTTTCCTAATTTTGATTTTGTGGTCTTCTAAGTTTTCATTTCTAAGAATTTCTGATTCTCTGCCTCCAGGCATCTAAAACTATTTATGATTCTTTCATGATGACAAGAAGGTGCTAGGAAGGAAAATAAAGCCTGATGCTACCAACTCTTGAAATGAAGTGACGACATTCCCTCCAGACTTAACTGATTGTTACAAAGAGGTCTAGAAGGGCAGAGAAGGGGAAGGAATGCTGCAATGAGTGGTTTCTGTTTCTCTGCTGGGACAGAGTTGTGGTTGGCTCTTCTGATCTCTGTGACTATAGATTGGCTGCCAACATAAGAGAGGACTTTAAGGTGCAAGGAAAACCTTCTAATCATTTGGCTCAAGACTTCACCATTATCTTTTTGAGTAAAATCATTGTTTTAGGAAGACCCATGGCAGGGATTGCCAAAAATGGGTCCGTAAATTAAGTGGTGGAGTGAAATGAATGAATGAATGAATGTTCACCAGTGCCTGAAATTCTACTTCAGTTAGAAATCTGTTTCTTTGGTCACAGTTCAAAATCGAATGTCCCAGAAAGGGGCCTGTTAGTGCAGTAGAGGGGATTAACCTCTGGAGCCAGGCTCTCAGTCAAGAAAATATGTAGTCATAGTTGAATCATAGATCCACATTGGTTAAGTTAGTAGGCTCTGGAACCAGATCCCCTAGGTTCAAATACTGATTCTCCTACTTATTAGCTCTGTGACCTGTACAGGTTAATCTTTTGGGGCCCCAGTTTCCTCATCTTTGAAATAAAGTTGATATTAGTGTCTACCTCACAGGGTTGTCATGAGGGTTAAATTAGTTAATGCATGTGAAGCATTTCCAACAGGATTTGGCACAGTGAGTACCCTGTGAGTATTTGACTATTAGAATCTGATGGAATCTATAAGTAACCTAGTCTAGCGTCTGTGAAAAAAACTGAGGCCCAGTGAGGGAAAGTACAGAGCCCTAATTCACATAGTAAATTGTAATAGGATGAGGACAAGAATCAGTGTTGAGACAAGAATCTACTTTTCAGACCTGGTCTGGTATATTTGTG